GAKRWTAYATGGGCGYGCRGCGATACRGATTTTATCTTCGAGTGTTGAAAAGATCTCTCACGAGTGAGCATAGCGAGAAGATAAAATTCGTATCTCCAAGCGACCATGTAATATTCTGTTTATCATATAATTACATGTACATATGAAAGCAAATTATGTCGTAAAATACCTCAGTCAGTCTTTCCTTGCTTTTACTATAAAGAGAAACCTCGAATGTGTTATTTTCACTAGTGAAATATTATTTTCACTAGTGAAAATATCAATTTTACGAAATGGAGAAATATACTAAGTCTACTAGGTATTTCATAGATAATTATATGATAAAGATATTTATTTACTGGTACATGATTTCGTTTCGTATTTTGTGTTTTGCTAGATCTAGATCAGGAGACCTGCATGACCGGCCAATGGCAACAATTTTGCTGTGTCTACTTTTTTGACATGGAGCAGGTCAAGTTTCAGGCGACCTATGTTTTAGGGCATACTAACTGGACCAGGCCTGTGTGAGCGTCGTATAAACATATATAGCTAGGATGAACCAGGATTTGATTACAATGTGATTTTTATGCAAGAGTATTTGGAGCTGAATCCATCTTTTCGATGAGCTTTGTCACATCACCTCCATTCATGAATTGCTGCATTTTTTCAGCTGTTTTGGCTGAAAAGAAAATATACACATAAAAACAATTATCCACCGTCATTAAATTTACATTTCTCATCTTTTGAGGTCAGCAAGTAACTCAGTATGAAGTATACATGTATACAGTATGGAAATTGAGCAATTAAGGTTGCAGAGGCTGATTTCATGTTTCCTATACCGGATATAAGGTTAAATTGGAAGAATCCATATGGTATATTAGATGAAATATGAGAGCAAACCTTGTTCTATRGGATCATCATTTGCTGATGCTTGAACGTCTGCTTGCATCAACTCAAAAGCTTGATCAACTACCTTTTTAATGTCTCCCAAATTCTTCAGATTCTGTTCCTTTATTGCTGAAATRAAATCATAGAGATGAGAATGCTTCTGAACTGTGATTAGAGCTTGGGGTTTTCACCTGATATAAAACTAACTAAATGGTCCTTTAACATATTGAAGGCATATGAAAATCTTTCATTACCCTGGTTCCAGAGGCTTGTAATTCTTTTGCTTAATATGTTGTCGAGCCAAAACTGATTAACGGAAACGTCTCACCACTTCATGCCTTGACAACATTGAAAGCAAAARAATAAAAGACATGCCTCTGGAATCAGTGTAATCTTTCATGTCACACTTCACTATTTTTCTTCTTCTGATATTTTCTAATAATATTTTAATRTTTTCTGGTACCATAATTCATTTTCTGGTGATTCGTTTTGCTCATTGTTTCTAGTATTTCAAATGAGGTCCCATCCCAAGTAATACATTTTCTTTTCTRGTAAACAGTAATAAATTCCATGCATTGTTCACTTGTTGCATACTTGATGTTGAATATTATATTCATTTTTGTAAAAATAATAAAATGTGATATATGTATCTTTTACATGACTTTTAGTGTTATCTATATAGTTTCTATACTGAATCATCYGATTAGACTCTTACATATTCTCCTGCTCCGCTTTTTAGCTCAGTGAGTCTCGCCCAAAAGTTAAACAGGAGACATTTCAGAGCCTATTGTACGATTGGTTGCAGTCCAATCTGAGAATAACATACGCATTTGATACTAAATATCTCTGAAAAGCACCTTGGATTTCATCAGGCTTTGTTTCATCTTGATTATAACGCACTTCAACTTGAACACTTTTTTGGTTGACCTAAACAGTTAATGGAAAAAATGGTAAAAACTGGGCTGCCAATTAAAAGTTTTGTTAGCACTGGTGAAAAGGTCAGGATAACCGCGCAGTTCTAACATTGTTATGTCTTACTGCATAATGATGTCACAGAATGCTTACAGAGTATAAATGCTCAGGCTATAAAAYAGGAACATTTGGAACTAATTAAAATTCTCTCTCAAAACTAAACAACCAACCAAATAAACTAACAAAAAACAAAATCAAAACAAAAAAGCCAAAGCAAAACAACACAACAGAAAGGAATAGAATTAATTGAATAAACGCGGCAAAATAACTATAACAGATAAAATGRGGTTTCAAGATACAATATTCATCTATGATGAGAACAGCCACAATGACAAACTCCAGTTATTATTACCTCAACGCGACGTGTCAGTCCGTCTTCTGAAGTGGATGTTGACGCACTTGCCGTCTGATCGGAATAGCAGAATTGGAAACGCAACTTGGAAAACTGATCTTTGATAAAGTCCACCACATTGGACATAAAATTTGCAAATCCTTGGAAAACACTTTTCAAAAAGTCGAAACCCGCTTTAGYACACTGCCAAGCCCAGTCGCGGACTGTTATTGCAGCAGATTGAAGAGCACAGAGCACCCCACCCATATCCAGGATGCCACTTGTGCARTTGATAGCTCTCAAAGAATTAGGGCCTACATGCAATAAAATACAAATAGCTAGAGTGAACRATTCACTAAATTAAATATGTTCTCGAAGCTCCCAAAATTCTGGAAATCGCGATTTCCGAGGCTCGATCACAACTATGCTCCGCGGTCTGCATTTAGGCTTTTAGACCACGAGCTCAAATAAGTGGACTAGATAAGTTGATTGTCCACGAGACCGTACTCGCCGCCTATAAATACATACTTGCCTTGAGGCTTGAAAGCTTATAATTCGACTTTGAGGCTTTGTCGATCCTGGTTGGTGTCTAAATGGCAAAGAGAATGACACGAGGTTTTGGTTTCATGGCAAATATACCAAGGGAAATTACCCTTAGGGATTAYTTTCACTGAAATTCTTATTCAAAACGGACCAATTAGAAATGTGTGTCCAAGAGAAATAACCAAGGGATTTTCCCGCAAAATGTTTATTTTAAGCGGACCAATCAGAAAGCCGTCAGTAGATTAYGCAAAAACAGGTCACAACGCGGGAGGGGATTCCCCAGATCAGCCAATACAATTTATCGGCTCTAAAATCGAGATTTTTTTAATCAAAAAAGCATTTAACAGTTTCCTAAAGATAAGATAACACAGAAGTGAAAGTTTTTTGACAAATCGATCACTTATGCCCACGAACCGAAAAAAGCGCAAAGTATTTTGTAATTTATAATTCATGAGGGGAAAGCCCGCGGGGGAACCCCTTTCAAAAACAGCGAAACAACGTACAGTATATCATTCACTACGTTGATACGTGAGTCAGATTCTCCTTGCAAGGTCCCTCACAAAGTATTACAGAGGCCCAAAATGTTCCCACCGCCCCAAACGCTATGCACTTTTGCATATTATGGTGCTGATATGGTGAGATTGTAGACAGCAGGATTCATGACTTATCGTTTGCATTGTGCTTCATAATTTCGCTTCGTACGTGTGTCCTAATTTTACACCTCTCTCTTAAGGTACAAGGTTTTCTGGGAGAAAWTTCAATCGAGAGCAGCGACAGTCAACCAAAAGTAAGAATATTCCTTCTCCTTATAGCAATAGGTAATACTCCAATTTCGAGTTCTGGTTTGCTCYGTGTTWGCCTCAAAACCAAGTAACATATTCTTATGTTTTATTGATAGTCCGAGAAAACGCATGGAATTTGAAAAGAAAGACAATAGAATTGATTTGAAATCTCACACTTTTCTCACAATTTGAAATATTTTACGCACAAATGAGGCTACACAGAGCATTGGAGAATTCGAAACTGGATTATTGTACATTTAGAGCTCATTTCAGTGCATCATTCTCTAAGGATTTACTTTGTTTATGATCGATATAAAATCAATCAAGTCATTTGCATTCATTCAAAATAAACATGGACCGCGGAGCCAGGTAGCCCCCCTGGCCCAAACAAATTCACGCTCTGCGGTCCCTGGTAAAGCTGCAATTTCAAAGTATGTGAGTAAACAGCATTCAATTCACCATTTCATATCTGGGATTGTAAACTAAACACCAAATTATACTTTGTTGGTTGTAGTTATATTTTACAGTGAACAACCTTAGTGCAGCCGGATTGACAGTATGAATTACATGTCATTGTATTTTAACAAATCATCGTTGTTATCACTTTTTTAGAATGACSACAACTACTGYCCTCACTACAAGAGATCATCTTGTAATATTCAGTTCAAGTGTTGTAAACAAGATATGTTTTTCCCTTGTCACAAATGCCACAATGAGYTCATTGAAAAGCAGAATGCCAGTGGCAATGTTGACCATGATTTTGATGAGAACACAAAGGCTTCTGATCTTTATGAACATCCACAAGCTTCTTGTTTTGATGCAGTTTGCTTCAAGTGCACTCACTGTGAAAAGTTATTTGAATCACGAGAGGTATGAAACATTATTCCAAACTGAGTATTATAACTAGTCGAAGAGTTATGTAAACTGACTGCAATTGGCTCTGGACACACTTTATGACACTGAAGTCTGTTTGATTGACAAGTAGCATTGTTCAAAAATAATGAAATGTTTCCTTAAGATTAAGGATGATGGTAAAAAACTCAGGGGAAAAAATAGAAAGATCATTCTTTTGGTTCTCCAGAAAAAAAAAGGAAAATGGGCTTTAAGGGTCTATGGCATGACAATAATTATATCTTCTCAAACTTTAAATGAGAGCTTGCTTTTCTTTTAGCTGAGTGAAAAATGCATCAATTGCAAGACAAAGTTGGCATCATATGTCTGTGTGAAATGTCGATTATTGGTCAATGCTGACAAGTCACTTGATCCATACCATTGTGATGACTGTGGAACATGCAGGTAATGATTGGTGATAATTCACCCTACTGATTAGCAAAAAATGATTTATAATGATTATCACAAATCATTTTGCAGAGAAAACAAATCCAAAAACTTCCACTGCTCAAAATGCAACATTTGCTTGAATAAGAAAATGAAAAACAACCATAAATGCTTAGAGAACAGCGGACGTGACACATGTGGAGTTTGTATGGAGGTAAGTAAGAAATACACAATAGGTTTGCATAATTGCAGTGAAGTTATTTCAAACATTTTAAAGAAACTGAAAAGCAATAAAATATGGATTTCTATCACGACATGGAGGCAAATTAAAATGATTTTTTTTTTCACAGGATGTGTTTCCTGGTTGTAAGGTCCTTCCATGCAGTCACAAGCTTCACAGRCAGTGTTTAGAAAGTCTTCTTAAACATGGAATGTAAGCGATGTTTGTCTCTCTCAGGGGTGGCGAAGCCAGGGGGCATGGCCCCCCACAAAATATTTTGGGGTACCTGCCTCCCCCACATAACGGCATCGGCTTTGTACGTAAAACATAAGTGTATATTTCAAATTTACCTCAATAGATTTGTCTATATTTGTGACATCATCACTATAAGTCTGTGATTGCTCTGCCGCCCCTGTCTATATTTTACAATACACTGAGTAAAATCCACAAATTATAATTATAATTTTTATTGTTTCCTAGGATCAACTGTCCAAGTTGTCGACAGTGTTTTRTCCCAGACAACACAAATGATGAATCCTCARGTKTAAAGAAAATGCTAAATTTCCTCTGTAAATTGCCAAGCATACTACACTCATAAATACATCAAAAGCTATAAAGTAACATGAGTTTGCCTGACGTATGAAAATTGTACAATCATTTATAGGTTACAACATTATACATTTTCTAGACTAAAACTACACACTAATTTAAGAGGAATTTAGCTTAATTTTAATAACAAAATGAGGGAATTTTCAAATAAATAAATAAACGTTTAGAAGTGTAAAATGTCTTTGATGTGTATTATCTTTTGTTTTTATTGTTTTATTTTGTTTCAATCCACTACTGACCTGTTTTTAGAAACATTGACCCAAATAAATGAGAATAAAAAAGAGAAATGTTAATCTCCAGTGACATTTTTGCTCAAGTTGAAATATTAGCAGAACTTTCTAATAATGCCTTTAACTAACAATTCTAAATTTTAGTGTTAGAAAATGCTTTTGGCATTTTTTAAACTCTGCTAACGTACAGACCAGTAATGTTGAAATTAATATAAAAAAAGAACATATTTTAATTATAAATCAAAGTGTTTATATTTCTTTTTGATGTTTTCATTTGAATCAACAGTTCTCCAAACAGATAWATTATAACAAAATACCTTAATTTATTTTACCCAACTATTGAATTTGAAAATGATTTTAAACAATAAACTCTGACTTATAAAACATCAACCAAGATAAATAAAATTCAATGTCCATATATAATAAATTTGACATAAAATMAAATATTTCATACCCGTCCATCGTATACATCTCATATAGTATAATAATTAATTAAATATAAACTATAAATAAATATAAATAATCAACCCAAACTTTTATTTCGCTGGATACCAAACTGAGGTGATTCCTGATGCTTCCAAATGTGAATGCTATTGCAAACAAACTTCACGAGTGGTTGATGGACMCTCCCTGCCCCTTTCAGTAAATTTCAGTTTGTTGCTAGATTCTACTAGTGTTAACTTATGAATAATCAATACTAATTTAGTGAGTGCCAAAAGGGAACCTATAAACTTTGTGTGAATTCTTATACAGCATTATGGAGACACTTAAAATACATGGTACACTCTTTTCTAAGTATAAACCTCATATACCTCAAAGCTCACCTCTGGTATCCATGGAAAAATGAAATCTGATGTACAATTTAATGATAGCTATGTTTGCGGGAAGAAAGATGCTGGGTTCACCATATTATTGATATGATCAGGATCCATTGCTGCAAGCAAGGCRCTGCTAAGATCAGCAGCGGCACTATCATGACTCAATGCTCTCATGTTATCATGATTACCAGTCCCCTGATAGATATCAAGTCCACCAGACTCAAAAACAACACTTGCAGCATCAGGAGTGGCACAGCTGAATGGTACAAAGGTCTGAGGCATGTTTGACATATAAGAAGACTCAAGTAGTCTCTGCATTGGGATACTGAATGTGCCAGGTGAAGACCCACTGGMAATATGCCCTGGAGCTTGAAAACCAAAGTCAAGCCTGTCAAAATTTAGATTAGTGTCTTTGTGGCTTGCTGCCATGCTGTTTGYGCTATGATGGGATCTCTCTAATAGTGGTGGTATTGAGGTAGTGCTTAATCCAGTACTTGCTGTTACCTCTGAAGGAAYACTGTGGTTTAACCTTGTTTTAATACCAGATGAACTACGAGGTTTCTTACTGCCTGATGATTGTCTCTCTGTAACTGTGTGTCTACTTCGCTTAGGAATTTTTTGTGCTGTACTGTCTTSTGGCTGCTTTCCAGCATTAATTGTTTGGCTGGTTTCCRCAGCTTCTTGCACTACTGGAGAAGCAATAACCCCTGGTTGCTCTAACAATGGTTCATTTAATGRGATTTTATCTGGAACTTCCACATCTTTAACAGTGCTTGTACTAGTGTCATTTTGATCATCTTTGGTTGTCTTGGGCTTGCTGTTTTTCTTGTCAGKTGAAGATTTTTGCTTTTTTGCTGATGGTTGAACCTGGAAGAAAAACCAAAGAGAAATATTTATAATTAACACAGTAAATTATGTATATATATATATTATATATATAAATTGAATAAATTGAAGAAAAAGGCACGCAACTTGCAACTATTATTCCTACTCTTTATTWGAACGTTTCGGCACTTCGGCCTTCTTCAGCAAACTGAGTGTTTTGCACGCGCCATTGCTACAAAAAACAACGCGACTAACGGAAAACAACAATATGCGCGCGCTCTACAGCGCGCGTAGCCAAAAAACACGCGCTAAAATGCACGTATGCATATATATATATATATATGTTGTCTACAGCTGTTTGCAATAATTCTGACCCCCCTACACTAATATTCATATATATCAAAGTAGCCTTAGAAATTATGGAATACCAATGCTGATATTTTTTTAAGAAAGTACTCATTCTGGGCAACTCAAAAAATATATCAGTCATGATATCCCATAATATTTAAGGTCAGTTTGATATATATAAAATATGGCAGAGGGGGTCAGAATTATTGCAAACAGCTGTAATAATGATGTAATAACCATTAATAAGTGAAGACACAGTAATGTTGACACAAAATGATCGCTTATATTTGTGTGTACATTATTATAGTGGGTTGTCTGCAAGGCAAGAGTTGAATCTAGCACCTGAAACACTGTGAACCCTAGACTCCTCTGCAGAACTCTCTGCCATTTCTAAAAGTAATGGGCTTCCTGTGTTAGATC